TGCTCTCTGGGAACATCAGTCTCTGTCTCAACTCTGCCATTCCTGCAACTATCTGCTCATCTGAAACTAGCTCACCCAGTCTGTATGCGGTCACTTGCATATCCGGCTCTCTGCGTAGCGCCTCTCTCACTTTCTGGGCTGTCTCCTTTGGGGCTAGCTGTGAGGCTGCCTTGCCTGGCTTGACCGGGCACTCAAGGTCTTCTTTTACCATCCAGCGCTGCTGCCCCTGGAAATCACAAAGCACTGTCTGTGTTCTGGCCTTCCTGACTTTCACCAAGCTCCCTTGCCAAAGTGCCACCCCTGTCTCGCCCACCACTTTGGCTGTCTTGCCAACCCACGTGCTGTCTGCTATCTCCTCTTCTGCATGTGCCTCTTTGGCCTGCTTTGCCTTCTCTGCCTTCTTCTTCGCTCTCTTCAAAAGCTTCCTGGCTACACTGGACTTCATCTTCAACGAAGTCTTCAGCTTCGAGGAAGGCTTCTGTTTCTTCCCTTTGCCTCGGCTGGCTTCTGGAACCACTTGCTGCACTGCTGCTTTCTGAGACTTCTTGCCTGCCTTCTTTCTCCACTCCTCTAGTGCCTCCTTCTTCAGCCCCTTCTTTTTTTGTTTGTCTTTTCTTGCCTTTTTCTGACTCGTGGTCTGGCTCACCTTCTGCAACCAAGGCATGTTCTGTCTCTCTCGAGGGTGCTGCAACAGTTCCAAGATCTGCTCTGTCTCCTTCTCTGACATGTCAAAGTCCAACGGCATATCGAAAAAAAAAAGCCGCTATGGGTGGGCGCGTTCTCGAACTGTCTGGCTGGCTGCAACTCACCCTCCTCCTCCTGGCCTTCCTCTCTCTTCTCCAAAGGCACTGGCTTGCCTTCCCGGACAAAACTGCCTCTCTGTGCCAGGAGCTCTGGCCCAAGCTTGCTGTGTCCTTCTGGGAAGTCTTTGGCCCACGGCTGTCTGCCTGCCTCCACCAGATTGCCTGCTCCGTCTGGCCTGTAGTGCAACCAACCACACGCTCTGGCTACTCTCAACACTGTCTGCTTTTCGCTGTTGAGTTTCACCATGGTATCGTGCATTTCCAGCGCTCCCTGGAGGATGTCTGTCTCGCTGGCTTTGTAGGTTGGGTGCACTCCTTCTGCTCTGGCTTTGGCTCGCATGCGGTCCTTCAGCTCTTCCAAGTACCTCTGGAGGCTGGCTTTGGCTGGCTGAGCCAGGCCTACATCTGTGAG